TCTATCCCAGACCGCGTCTGTCACCTGTCGCGTCCTCCCCTCACGACTCGACCCCCTACCGCCTCTCACTCCTGCCGCCTCCTCCCCTCCCACCGCTACCCCCTGCAAACTCCTCGCCTGCAGCATCTATCCTCCATTTGCACCATATCAATCCCGCACACAACGAGAGCGCCTCGTGCGCAGGTGATGCACAGCGTCACGTCTTCGGAAGACTTGGGCTTTGCACTTGTTGCACGCCGACACAACACGCCTATGAAAGGGTAAAGCCTGGAATTTCGGAAGACACTATGTTGGGACTTCTGAGCTGGTCATAAAGGTGGCGCGAGAAGCTGCACTGGTCATAAAGGTGGCGCGAGAAGCAGTGCTCGCAACTCCGGCCTCTGCCCTTGGCGTTTGCTTTCAACGGCTTCGCTATAACAAAAACAGCAATGCTTACATATGGCTGAGTCCGCTAAGTCAGGTGTGATGTGCAGTGTATCTGTAGCTGATCTTTGTTGGTGGATTACAAGCGTCTGTGAGCTCGCGCGCTTCAGTTGTCCACAGATGCTTACAAGCCGCCTCGATATCGCAAAGCAGCAGAGAAGAAGACCCTTGGCTTTCTTAAATAGGCCGTTCAGCAAGTTAGCCGAGTTCGTGGAATCTGGTCCTACTATTGCCGGTAAAGTATTCGGTATGCACAAGGCCTTAGCGGACAAAGACATGTTTCTTCGTTTGCGATCTTCACGAGACACTTCATTGAGGCTGCTGCAATGGGCGCCATTGTTGTCGTACATTTGAGGATTTCCATCCTCAAATGTACGACACCTTCAAGCAAAATGCACTCTGCAGCTTTTCAGTACTTGATGCTGACAATTGCGATAACGTGCACAGATGTCTATATGTACTCGTGTGCTGCTATAACGTGAAAATGATGTTGCGATTGGGAATTTGCAGGTTCGCGGTTCGATACCCCTGGTAATCACGATGTTTTGTGTCCAAGGTTTTCATCACTATTCCCCGCCGCCACTATTCGATGCCGCCACTATCTCCGGCTGCCTCAATCCATGGCCGCCTCAATCCCCGGCCGCCTCACTCCTAGGCCGTCCCTCTGCGGCCTCGCGTCCTCCCCTGATGACTTCCCCCCGGATGCCTCTGCTGCAGCTGCCCCCTCCACTTCCTGCCACTTTCCCCTGCCGCCCCATTCCCCTACCCTACCGCATCCTTGCCCGCGGCCTCCACCCCCGCCGCCGCAATCACAGACCGCGTCTGTCACCTGTCGCATCCTCCCCTCACGACTCGAACCCCCTAGCGCCTCTCACTCCTGCCGCGTCCTCCCCTCCCACCTGTCCCCCCTGCAAGCTCCTCGCCTGCCGCATCTATCCTCCATTCATGCGAACTAATCATGCACACAACGACAGCGCCTCATCTTCGCAACACGTCATATGACATAAGATAAGACATGCATGTCTTATCAAGACTTGGGCTTTGCACTTGTTGCACGCCGACACAACACGCCTATGAAAGGGTAAAGCCTGGAATTTCGGAAGACACTATGTTGGGACTTCTGAGCTGGTCATAAAGGTGGCGCGAGAAGCTGCTCGCAACTCCGGCCTCTGCCCTTGGCGTTTGCTTTCAACGGCTTCGCTATAACAAAAACAGCAATGCTTACATATGGCTGAGTCCGCTAAGTCAGGTGTGATGTGCAGTGTATCTGTAGCTGATCTTTGTTGGTGGATTACGAGCGTCTGTGAGCTCGCGCGCTTCAGTTGTCCACAGATGAATACAAGCCGCCTCGTTATCGCAAAGCAGCAGAGAAGAAGACCCTTGGCTTTCTTAAATAGGCCGTTCAGCAAGTTAGCCGAGTTCGTGGAGTGTGGTCCTACTATTGCCGGTAAAGTATTCGGTATGCACAAGGCCTTAGCGGTCAAAGACGTGTTTCTACGTTTGCGATCTTCACGAGACGCTTCATTGAGGCTGCTGCAATGGGCGCCATTGTTGTCGTACATTTGAGGATTTCCATCCTCAAATGTACGACACCTTCAAGCAAAATGCACTCTGCAGCTTTTCAGAACTACATGCTGACAATTGAAAGAATGTGCATGGATGTGTATATGTACTCGTGTTCTACTGTGCTGCTATAACGTAGAGATGACGTTGCGATTGGGAATTTGCAGGTTCGCGGTTCGATACCGCTTTCAAGCATGAATTTTTATGTCACAAGGTTTTCATCACTATTCCCCGCCGCCACTATTCGATGCCGCCACTATCTCCGGCTGCCTCAATCCATGGCCGCCTCAATCCCCGGCCGCCTCACTCCTAGGCCGTCCCTCTGCGGCCTCGCGTCCTCCCCTGATGACTTCCCCCCGGATGCCTCTGCTGCAGCTGCCCCCTCCACTTCCTGCCACTTTCCCCTGCCGCCCCATTCCCCTACCCTACCGCATCCTTGCCCGCGGCCTCCACCCCCGCCGCCGCAATCACAGACCGCGTCTGTCACCTGTCGCATCCTCCCCTCACGACTCGAACCCCCTAGCGCCTCTCACTCCTGCCGCGTCCTCCCCTCCCACCTGTCCCCCCTGCAAGCTCCTCGCCTGCCGCATCTATCCTCCATTCATGCGAACTAATCATGCACACAACGACAGCGCCTCATCTTCGCAACACGTCATATGACATAAGATAAGACATGCATGTCTTGTCAAGACTTGGGCTTTGCACTTGTTGCACGCCGACACAACACGCCTATGAAAGGGTAAAGCCTGGAATTTCGGAAGACACTATGTTGGGACTTCTGAGCTGGTCATAAAGGTGGCGCGAGAAGCTGCTCGCAACTCCGGCCTCTGCCCTTGGCGTTTGCTTTCAACGGCTTCGCTATAACAAAAACAGCAACGCTTACATATGGCTGAGTCCGCTAAGTCAGGTGTGATGTGCAGTGTATCTGTAGCTGATCTTTGTTGGTGGATTACGAGCGTCTGTGAGCTCGCGCGCTTCAGTGGTCCACAGATGATTACAAGCCGCCTCGATATCGCAAAGCAGCAGAGAAAAACACCCTTGGCTTTCTTAAATAGGCCGTTCAGCAAGTTAGCCGACTTCGTGGAATGTGGTCCTACTATTGCCGGTAAAGTATTCGGTATGCACAAGGTCTTAGCGGTCAAAGACGTATTTCTACGTTTGCGATCTTCACGAGACACTTCATTGAGACTGCTGCAATGGGCGCCAGTGGATTTCCATCCTCAAATGTACGACACCTTCAAGCAAAATGCACTCTGCAGCTCTTCAGAACTAGATGCTGACAATTGCGAGAATCTACACAGATGTGTACATGTAATCTTGTTCTACTGTGCTGCTATAACGTGAAAATAACGTAGCGATTAGGAATTTGCAGGTTGGCGGTTCGATACCGCTCGTAATCACGATGTTTTGTGTCCGAGGTTTTCATCACTATTCCCCGCCGCCACTATTCGATGCCGCTACTATCTCCGGCTGCCTCAATCCATGGCCGCCTCAATCCCCGGTCGCTTCAATGCCCCGCCGCCTCTCCCGTCATGCCGCCTCTATCCCCTACTGCCTTCTCCCACGCCGCTGCCTCTTCCCCCTGCCAACTCCTCCCCAGCTGCATAAACCCCTGCCACCGCCACCCCTGCAGCCTCCACCCCTGCATCCTCTATCCTCTGCCTACTCCCCCCCTGAAAACTTCCCTGCCGCCTCTACCCTTGCCGCCTCTACCCCATACCACGTACTTCCCTGCCACCTCCTCGCCGCCACAAACCCTGCCGCCTCCGCCCCTACTGCCTTCACCCCTGCATCCTCTATCCTCTGCCTACTCCCCCCCTGAAAACTCCCCTGCCGCCTCTACCCTTGCCGCCTCTACCCCATACCACGTACTTCCCTGCCACCTCCTCGCCGCCACAAACCCTGCCGCCTCCGCCCCTACTGCCTTCACCCCTGCCAACTCTGTGAATCCTATGCCAGGCCTCGTCTGCTCTTGTCACCAATATTCCCTACCGATTCCCCTGGTGCCGCCTGTACCCCTTCCGCCTCTATCCCCTGCCCCCTCCACCTCTGCCCTTGCCGCCTCTATCCCCTACTGCTTTCTCCCCCGCTGCCTCCTCCCCTGCTGCCTATGCCCCTTCCGCATCTATCCCCTGCCCCCTCTGCCCTTGCCTCCTCGACCCCCAGCCGCCTCCACCCATGCCCT